AGGAGTATATCCATGACCTCACAGATCAATCATTATAGGGCATGAGTGTAAAATAGCACCTCCAGGGCCCCTAAAAGCTCACCTTGCCAAAAGGGTCCGATCCCCTTTTGAGCCTGGTGACCCCCAGACCTGCTGAAGCCTCCCACCCACCTTCTCCAGTCAATAGTTCACATCTCCCCGAAGAGCAAAGACAACAGGGATGAGGAGAGACTGCTACGGGTCTGACAGCGCGTGGGATCCAGACAGACAGACAGACAGACAGACAGACAGACAGACAGACAGACAGACAGACAGACAGACAGACAGACAGACAGACAGACAGACAGACAGAGAGGAAGTTGTGTCCTCCACCACAAAGCCGGAGGTACTCACAGTGCACATAGAGAGTGACGGCTGGAGAGGTCCTGACGCCCCGCTCGTCTTGAACCTGGCACACGTAGGATCCCATGTCCCGGGGAGTAACAGCTGGGAGTAGGAAGGAGGTGGCCGGACCATCTGCAAACCATCTGGCGTCCTTGTACCAGGTGTAGATGGCGGAGGGCTGGAAGCTGGCATCTTGGCAGATCAGAGAGACACGCTGCCCTTCATGCACCTCTGGGGCGGGATCGATCACCAGCCTGATAGCTGCCCGGGGAGAAGAACGGCGAAGCTGGAGTGGACGGAGGGCAGATGTTCTCCAGCTCCCCTCAGGCCAAGTCCACAGACGGAGTGAGCATCCTCTCAACCATCGCCCCTAAGTGGCCTCCTTCCTACTCTTCGGACCCTTCCTCAACCTTTCCAGCACCTCATGGACCAGAAGGAACCCCACCTCCTACAGCACAGAGGACCTCGTTCTCCTACGGCAGAGGAGGAAACCAACATGAAGAGGACAAGGGAGGGTAACCGCTTGTTCTTATTGTCCAGTTAACCAGTGGAACAGCTTGCCACCAGAAGTTGTGGGCTCTCCATCACTGGAGGCTTTCAAGAAGAGATTGGACAGCCCCTGGTCTGGAATGGGAGAGGGTCTCCTCCTTGGACTAGAAGACCTCCAGGGTCCCTTCCAGCTCTGTGATTCTATGTCAGGGCTTTTCAACCCGTGGTACGGGGACCACCTGTGGTACATGGGCACCTGGCAGGTGGTACGTGACCATCCTAGAAAAGTGGTAGCGGGGGAGGGGAATGAGCTGAACCGGTGGCAGCACCGCACAAGCCTGAGTGAGAGACGGCTGGAGCTGCAGGGCTGTCAGGGCTCAGCGGAAGCGCCAGGATCAGTGCCACTTTCCAGCTGATCGGCGCTTCTTCGGGGCTGTCAGGGCTCAGTGGAAGCGCCAGGATCAGCGCCAGGATCCAGCTGGAGCTCGGCACTGATCCTGGTGCTTCTGCTGAGCCCTGAAGAAGCACCAATCAGCTGGAAAGCAGCACTGATCCTGGTGCTTCTGCTGAGCCCAGAAGAAGCACTGATCAGCTGGAACGTTGCAGCCTCTCCAGGGTCTTGTGATTTGCATTCAGATGCTTGGCAACTGATTCATATTTATGACGGTCACAGTGTCCCAGGGTCATGTGAAGGGACCAAAACCTGCTGCAACCACCCAGCAGATGGGGGGAATAAAAACCAAACACCCCCCCACCCCACCCCCACTGCCAATCCTCAACAGAAATGCTCACAACAGTGGAAACCTCGGACAGGAGGAAGAGTGCCGCTGGGCGGGCAGGCAGGGGTCTTGCTCGGCTGTGGCTTGGGGGGCTCTTTTTTCAGTGCCATTGTAACTTCGAACAGTCACTAAGGGAACTGTTGTAAGTCGAGGACTACCTGTACTTTATCACTTTTTTCCTTTTTTGGGTCATCAAGTTTTTGACACCTGGCTAGGCGACTGGTGGTACTCGGATGTTGCCATATCCTAAAAGTGGCACAATGGGTGAAAAGGTTGAAAAGCCCTGTTCTATGTTATACAGGTCATTCTCGACTTACAACATTTAGTGACCATTCAAAGTTACAACGGCACTGGAAACTGTGACTTACGACCGCTTTTCACACTTACAACCGTGGCAGCCTCCCCGCGGTCACGGGATCAACATTTGGACGCTTGGCAGCTGACTCGTGTTTACGATGGTCGCAGTGTCGTGGGAATCACGTGATCCCCCTTGGCGATCTTCTGATAAGCAAAGTCAAGGGGGGGGGTGAAGCCATATTCGCTTAACAACCGTGTGGCTAGCTGCAATTATTCACTTAACAACTGTGGCAAGAAAGGTCGTAACGGGGGGGGGGCGACGCTTACCGAAGAAGCGTCTTGCTTAGCAAGATAAATGCTGGGCTCGAGGGCGGTCGTAACTCAGGGGGGCTACCCACAGGTTCTCAGCCTGAGCCCAGCTACTCACTCTCCACGGAGAGGTTGAAAGAAGCGTGGGCTTCGCCAAGGGAGTTTCCCGCCCAGCACTCGTAGCTCCCTTCATCGTCCAGGTTGACGTCTTTGATCTCCAGCCTCAAGGAATTTGGCGAGGAAGCGGCCCGCAGCTTTGGGCCTGGCCCCCCACGGACTTTGGAGGAGCTGGACGCCAAGAGTTGGCCAGCACGACGGAGGGACAGCGCAGACGGCGGGTTGCTCTGGACGGTGCACAGGACGATGGCCACCTGGCCCTTCTGGGTCTCCAAGAAGGACTCGACCAGCACGTTCCTGGGTGGATCTTCCGGAAAAAAGAGGAGAGAGATCAGGGCGTGGGATATGTCAGAGAGGGATGGACCTCCTAAGGTTGAGAGAGACATTGGAGGACGCCTAGTTCGACCCCCTGCCTGGAGAAGAAGCTGAGAACATCCTGAACCATCTTTCCTCAGGGATGGACCACCCGCAACTTCAGGAGGCATGGGCTAAATGACAGGTTCAGTTACCGACACCTGGTGTTTCTTGACTCATGTCCCAGGATGATGTGGCAAGGAAGGGAAGGACGAGGGGGGACAGGATTGCAGTGTTCCCGTATCTCAGGGGCTGCCCCAAAGAAGAGGGAGTCAAGCTAGTCTCCAAACCACCTGAACGCAGGACAAGAAGCAACGGATGGAAACCAATCAAGGAGAGAAGCAACCTGGAACTAAGGAGAAACTTCCTGACAGTGAGAACAATTAACCAGTGGAACTACCTGCCTCCAGAAGCTGGGAATGTTCCAACGCTGGAAGTTTCTAAGAAGAGACTGGACAGCCATTTGTCTGGAATGGTATAGGGTTTCCTGCCTGAGCAGGGGGTTGGACTAGATGACCTCCAAGGTCCCTTCCAACTTTATTATCATCATCATCATCATCATCATCATCATCATCATCATCATCATCATCATCATCATCATTATTATTATTACTATTATTACTATTATTATTATTATTAACATCATGAGGTGACTAGCAGGTACCACCAGTGGTGGGATTCAGCCGGTTTGCACCACTTCGGCAGAACCGGTAGCTAATTTTTTGTTGCCCAGGCCCAGAATGGACTTCCGGAAGCAGCATCCACACAGAGAACCGGTTGTTGACCTGTTTGAATCCCACAACTGGGTGGACACCCCCCCCCCAATGGTGGTCTTGGCAGAGACTGGAGGAGAAGGAGGAACATATAGGAAAAGGGCCTTGTCTTAAATGCACAAATAGAGAATAGGGTGGTGCCTGGTTGAATAGCTATAATTTAGACAGGGATCTTGGAGTCCTAGTGAACAATCGTTTAAATAGGAGCCAGCAGCGTGCTGCAACTGCCAAAAAAACCAACACATTCCTAGGCTGTATTAACAGAGGGATAGAATCAAGATCACGTGAATCATTAATACCACTTTACAAGGCCTTGGTAAGGCCACACTTGGAATCCTGTATCCAGTTTTGGTCACCACAATGTAAAAAAGATGTTGAGACTCTAGAAAGAGCACAGAGAAGAGATGATTAGGGGACTGGAGGCTAAAGCATATAAGGAATGGCTGCTGGAATTGGGTCTGTCCAGTTTAATGAAGAGAAGGACGAGGGGGGACAGGATAGCAGCCTTCCAGTATCTCAGGGGCTGCTCCAAAGAAGAGGGGGGGGTGTCCACCTATTCTCCAAAGCACCTGAAGGCAGGACAGGATGGAATTCAATCAAGGAGAGAAGCAACCTGGAACTAAGGAATTTCCTGAGGGTGAGAACAATGAATCAGTGGAACAGCTTGCCTCCAGAAGTTGCGGATATTTCACCATTGGAGGTGGTGGGCCACCATTTGGCTGAAATGGTATAAGGTCCCAAGCAGGGGTGTGGACTAGAAGACCTCCAAGGTCCCGTCTAACTCTGCTGTCCTGTGAAGTAGGTAACACCATAAGTGCTAGTTTGCCCTAGCACTGATGATATTACCTAGTTGGGTAATGAAACATCTGCAAGAAAATAAGATCAAGGACCCCACAGTCCTCCTCCTCCCCTCTTCTTCCTTCTCCTCCTCCTCCTCCTCCTCCTCCTCCTCCTCCTCCTCCTCTCTGCAAACCCTACTCCCTTCTAGCCTTGATGATGTTACCAAGTTCGTTAATGAAACGTCTGCAGGAAAAAACCAAGCTCAGGGAGCACCAAGGACCCCATA